CAGCCGTCGTTACCACTGCTACGGCATTCCTCGAGAGACTACGTAGTTTCTCGATCTCGGGACAGTTGGTCACGTCATGACCCGGCTGTCGACAGAAGAAACACTCCGCAGTCCGACGATCTCCAAATCGATTTCCACTCGTTCTCCTAGGCAAGCTACACTCCACGGAGTAGTGACCAAATTGATTACAGCGATTACACAGGCCCCTCGCCCGAGGACACGTCTCTCGACCACACCCTTTTCGTTCGCAGCGTCCGCACACCACTTCTCCTTCTGCGGTACGAGTATCGGGACCCATACGAATGTTGGGAGGTCCCAGTTCAGCACTCACTCCGCCGTTAGAGGGACTAGTCGGTTTCGGATCGTTCAAAGTCACTGCGCCTATGTACCCATCGCTCGTTCCAGAATGTTTTTGTACGTTCCGATTTAGCAGTTGCAGCTCTTGAAGCACCTGTAACTCCGTCGAGGGTACATTCTTCGTGCCCAGAGGTTTCATTCCATCCTCTGGAAACTCATCGTCTTCTTCGATAGGCAGGTGGAGATTCTTGAACAACAGAATACGACAGGCTTGCTCAATAGACCCAATCATATTACCGTTCAGCACCGCTCGCATCTGTTTGTTCCTTATTCCTTCCAGGAAGAACTCGTACCTCATGCGGGGTTCGGGTAAGTTCAGCGCGTCGCATATTGTTTCGAGTCGATCACCCCATTCTTCGGCCGACTCGCCTCGTTTCCTTGTAGCCGTCTTAAGGCGGGGCCAGGTTTGGGCCGGGGTCAGGCAAACGAACCGATTGTGAAATCTGGAACGAAGCGACTCAAAGCTATGAATTCTCGAGTTGTACCACCATTCTTGTCCCTTTTTCCCCTTCAGGCACTGTTCGAAAGCCGTCAAGCGCAGCTGATCATCCATGCACATCGTAAATTTCTCGAACGAACGCCAAAACGCCGCAGCTCGTTCACTCGAGGCCGTGACCGAATACAATGGAACGATCACTTTGACTGCGTTCCTCAATTCGTTCGGGATTCCCACCATCGGAGCGAGCCCTCGGCCATAGTCATGCGGCTCACGTCCCGCATATTGGGCCATGAGAGCCGCTGGGTGAGGCGTCGCATATCTCGGGTATCGTTCTCGGTCAAACCCCACGTTCCCCCTGAGTCTCGGGTCTCCTTCGTGACTTTGGAACGATCTTTCGTCGGTCGGCTTCGTTCCCCAATTCAGCGTTCTCTCCGGTCTCGTTCCGGCCGGCATTGAAGGCGTAGTCATAGGCGTGAACGGGTAAGTAGGAGGCATCTCAATCGGGTTCCAGCCCGGCGGTAACATCGGACCAAACGGATTCGAGGACGAGTATTGCCTCGGCGTGTCATACGCTCC